AGAGTTAGCAGCACATTCAACTGACCGAACCGCAACAGACTTGTGAATGAATGAGTACAAAACAGCGTTTCCAAAAACCTATCACTGTTGACTGTCTGGGCATATGAACATGAATGTAGTTCGTCTGTAAATATGCACATATTTTGTTACACAGACGGACGTTTGTGCTGTATGATATATAACATAAAGTAATATAATTCACTGCTGTATAACAGCGTATTGCAGTTGTAATTCAAGATTTTAGTAATTCAGTTGAAGTGACTTTAGCTTACATTGAAGTACTATTTCAGAAAGAGAAAATATGTACATGAGAACTGCTTTATTGGCCATTTAGTTGTATAAAAATGCAGTACTTTATGTAACAGTTCAGAGAGTAAACGCAAGTACAACTTGATATAAGACACACCAACTTTCAATATCAAACAGCAAAACGAACTGTTTTCAGCTAAAAATAGCTGGACCGGAGTGGACGCAGATGAGACCGGAAGCCAGACCCATAGAATTTACAAATGGCCACGCCCATTTTTATGACAAGAAAAAGGTGGATAAAGTTGAATTGTTATATAAAGTTATAAGCCTGTTTATTAAAAACAAGTTTTGCAATAGGTTAACAATTATTTCGGACATTTTGACGTTGATGAGTATTCAGATTCGGACCTTTGAATGTAAACTTTGAGAGCACCTGATCTAAACTGTATAGTACATTATATAGGATTTACTGCACTATATAGTGTTCACAACACAATTAAGTATACACTACACAATATATTGCATAATAAACCTCTGCACACACTATATAATACACTACATCGGATATACTACAGTACATACTATGTACTGAATGCTACAATATTATCTAGACTGTGTACTATAAAGTACATTATAAGAAATATGCCACACTATATGTTATACATATTATACAATATAGGCTACTAAATACTTTCAAACCATATAATATAGAACATTGTATAGTTTACCCTGCATACTATGTACTGTACTACACTCATATGCTCCACTGCCATGCGCTAACATAATTCAAATGTTTTATCAGGCACTGAAGGTCTGCCGTGTAACACCGTGTTCTATACTACACAACATAGTATACACTACTACACGATAATAATAAACAACTGCATACTAAATAGTGTACTACACTGAATATACAGTACTATACTGCTTACTACTGTATGCACTGACTACTAAAGTACAATCTAGATTGTGTACTACATTGTACTAAATACTACAGTATAATCAACACTGTTTAGTACATTATATACAGTATAAATTAAACAGTATAGTACATTATATAGAATATACTACACTAAGTATACACTACAAAATACATGAAATAATAAAGTGTATACTATATAGTGCACTACATAGAATATACTACACTACTTACTGTGTACTATGCTACAGTATAATCTAGACTGTATACTACATAGTGCATTATATAGAATACACTATATACTATACATACTATACAATAAAGACTACTAAATACTTATAAACAGTATAATATAGTACATTGTATACTGCGGAACACACTGCATACTATGGACTGTGCTACACTTATATGCTCCACTGCCATGTGCTAACATAATCCAAATGTTTTATCAGGCACCGAAGGTCTGCCGTGTAATATGATATGTGAATGTTCATAATTCCGTCTGGTTACCAAGCACAGTACGCCGTTTATTACTGGTTTATTACAGCCACGCATGATGCATGAGTGTAACCTCGGCAGATTATAAAGGCTAAAGGTGAAAAGACTGGAAGACACCCGAACAAGCGTTTGACCGAGCAGCTACCATATTTCCGACATGCTCTTCTCTGCTGCACCTCCTGAATAATGAATGAGCGACGCGCACATTGCGGCTCTCTCTGCGGCTGTGAGGGAGGCGGGCGTTATGATGCAGGAGTTTTAATCCTCTGCCGCAGCAGCAGATCAGATCCGCCGGTAACGCGAGCAGGGGGATGCGCGGTCGGTCGGACGGCTAGAACGGCTAAAAAAAGCCGCAGACAATTAAATCCGAGAACAATATCTACAGTACGTAAAAAGGCGACCGAAAGCTCCTCCTCTCTCGCTCCAAACAGGCTTTAGGAAGTTACAGGACACAGTGCCTCTCTTATTGTTCTTGAGCAGGCCTGGGAATAGGAGAGCTGCGCTGTTTTGACGCAGTTAAATGGGTGATTACGGGTTCGGTTTGTTGCAGACAGCGAACATCAGCAGCAGCTCCACACGTTTCGGCGGATACGCATTCACACCCTATCCCAACGCGTCTCCGGTGCGCCCCAGCAGCTCGCCTCTGGTGTCCCCTCTTTTCCCGTCACATCAGCGCAACATGCAGGATGAGCCTGCGGGGCTGACAGCTTCTCAGTCCAACAGCGAGCAGAGCAGCGCCGCCGACAACGACCTGAGCCGCTTCTCCGCTGTAGGTCACGCACAGACAGCCGGTGACCTTCAGCGCGACCGGAACATACATCAGCAGACTCAGCCGCCGCCGCCGCAGCAGCAGCCGTACTCCTCCTCCTCCACGGGCCTGGACACCGATGCGCCATCGTCCAAGGTGAAGACCCAGATGGAGTTTTCTCCCTCCCTGCCCGCTTTCGGGACGCCGTGGTCCGTGCAGACGAGCTCCCCGCCTCCGCCCGTCTCCAATGCCGCCAACGCAATAAACCCGATCCCCACCACCGAGCCTGACAACTTCTACCCCGGCATCCCCTCCTCTATCAACCCCGGCTTCTTCCAGAGCTTCTCGGCCAACCCGTGCCCGGTGCAGGGCTTCGGCAGCCCATTCTCCCCGCAGATCAACGCGCCGCCGCAGAGCCGCCGGTCCCCGGTCAGCCCGCAGATCCCCCCGCAGCAGGGCGCCTTTCTGCAGCAGCGGAACAACTACAACCACCACCACCAGGTGAGATAACCCATTTAATCAAACAAAACACATAATGCGTTTATTGAGAAAATAAATACATGTTTAGTAAAGGCCTTTGTAGAATACTAAAGATGAAGGCGGCTGTCATTGTGACGCAATCGCGGCCTTGAAACGGCTTCTATTGCGTCATAATGCAGCGCTCAATGAAGCCATTGTGACGTCTGTGAGTTGCATACAAATGTGGCCTGTCAGTGCGTCACCACAAGCTTACTGCGTACTACGCAGGATGCACTGCTTAGGATTTGAAAATTAGTATCAGTATGTTTCAAATATTTGACCCTGGACCACAACACCTGTCATAAGGGTCATTAAAAAAAATGCTTTCCATTGATGTATGGTTTGTTAGGATGGGACGATATTTGGCTGAGATACAACTATTTGAAAATCTGGAATCTGAGGGTGCAAAAAAATCAAAATATTGAGAAAATCGCCTTAAAGTTGTCCAAATTAAGTTCTTAGCAATGCATATTACTAATCAAAAATTAGGTTTTGATATCTTTATGGTAGGGAATTTACAAAATATCTTCATGGAACATAATCTTTACTTAATATCCTAATACTTTTTGGCATAAAATAAAAATCGATCATTTTGACCCATACAATGCATTGTTGGCTATTGCTACAAATATACCTGTGCTACTTATGACTGCTTTTGTGCAGTGTGACATATTAAAATAAGCAGTTCTAATGATATTTTCTGTTATTTTACTGTATTTTTGATTAAATGCAGCTTTGGCGAGCATAAGAGCCGTCCTTCAAAAAGAAAAAGAAAAAATCAGTATGTTACAACAGTAGCTATACATGATGCAACAGTAAATGTTAAAAACTGTAGAATCATACATCCTAGTATGAAACATTGTGAATGGCAGTTATAATCTCATAATTTTTGTGCTTTTAATGCAATTTGGTGTTGTGTCATAACTTGTGGTAGTACAATCAAATAGTGAGTCAAGAAAGAGACGTCACAGTGGAAATGTAAGGTCAGATCAAGTTCAGTGCATTGTGGGATACAGTATTCTGAACAGCTTGCTCTGGTTTTATAGAGTTTTGTGCAAATGTAGCTGGTTTGCACACTGCAGAATGCAGAAAATAGTAGTATGTTTTTCCTTTTTTTTTTCTGAAAGCGGACACGGGCGCATCAAGCACAAGCCGTGGTAATATCGTTCAAGGGCTTCACGTGATATTCCAGGGATGTCTTGACCTCTAGGCCATTCAGTGAAATCTCCTATTGAGAGCTTAGAGGCCAGAGATGTCAACACCCTGCTAAACTGCAGCAGTTTTAGAAAAAGCTGCTATTACTGTAATCTGCAGTTTACACAAGTATTCCACTTATATGGTGGCCATTTTTGGTGAATGTTAGTATTCCTTTGCATTTCAGCATTATTTTAATAATATAAGGCACAGATGTGAATCAGTCTAGCATCTGTTTCCCACAGAAAACTCACAAACAGTGATATGTTATAGATGCCTTATAAATGATATGCATTTGTATTTGATATTGATATTGCGTCGCCGCAGATGCAATATCTTGGTATCTGGTGCTGGTGAAGTAAGGTAGGCCTCAGTGTCTGTGTGTGTCTGGTCTTGTGGGGGTGGGGTAGAGGCGGAGGGGGGACGGTCACATGATTTTAGGAGTGTCCCTATATGTCACAGTGATATTCGTACATGTGAAGTCATGCTGGTGTAACTGCTGTTAAGAGTGAATGTCTGTTAGCATGATATTAGGGCTAAGCTGGAGACACCCTTTATTCAGGAGTTCAGAATCATGTGTGTGTAGGTGTGAGAGGTATGACCAAGATCTTATAGCACACTATGAGTAATTTTTATGTCACGGAAAATGTATGTTATTATTGTGGTAAGATTGTGGTATTTTTTTTTTTAAAGAAAATAATTTTAGCGAGGATGCAATAAACCGATCAAACGTGATAGCAAAGACACAACGATTTCTGTTTCAAAATAAATGCTGTTCTTTTGAAATTTTTATAATTTAAAGAATACTGAAAAAGCATCCACAAACATTATGAAGCAGCACAGCTGTTTTCAACATTGCTAATAATCAGAAATGTTTCATGAGCAGCAAATCAGCATATTAGGATGATTTCTGAAGATCATGTGACACTGAAGACTGGAGTAATGATGCTGAAAATACAGCTGCGCATCACAGAAATCAATTACATTTTAATATATATTTAGATAGAAAACAGTTATTTAAAATTGTAATAATATTTGACAATACTACTGTTTTTGCTGTACATTTGATCAAGTAAATTCAGCCTTGGTAAGCAGAAGAGAAACATTAAAAATCCCTAAAAGTTTAAACAGTGCATCACAAGACAATTACATATGTTTGTATTAAATACCACTGTGGTACATTTCTTTGATATTTAAATACTTAAGAAAAATAAATAAAATGAAGGTACTTAAAAATAATTAATTGTACTTAATCTCATTTAATTATTTGCACTTTTTTTACTGGAGCTTGACGAAACAAACCAAAAGATAAGATTATTCATATCAAGTAAATGATCAATCTGGAATCAGTGCAAAAACACCTTTAAACTATGTAACATTGAGTTAAAAATCCAACACACAAATCAGTAAAACCTAATATCATAAATGAATAGATCTGATTCTTATGACTTTATAAGCCGAAATCATTGTTAAACAGCCAATGAACACATAGCTGTAAATGCATATGAATAAACAATCTACAGTTGCATCTGAAAGCTGAGAAACGCTGGCCGGGTTCAAATGTAGGAAAGCAACAAGATACATCTGAAACCAATACCTGTACTACATCCTATCTACCGAGATGCCTTTTGGAAGGCAGCATTGATATATCCTTCACTGCCATTGAGCTCAAGGATAAAATGGCGGCTGAAAGTTGTAGTTGGTGGTCATTGTAGTAGTTAAATATATGCTTGATTATCACCAAAGCTTCTTCTGTTTAGGTCTTTCTTATGTTTAACTAACCTAAAACAGTATAAGCAGTATAGCAACGACTCTACTGGTCGATGCATGTCTACCATTACACGATATATGCATGTGCTGTGTGATTTACTTCTTGCTGCTTAGTACACCATCTTTCCAGTGTCTAGACGCCATCAACGGCAATTATCTCTCACTATCCCTTAAACACTCAACCAGATTGTATGTGCACACTGTCTCACACCCACACACACACACACACACACACACACTCGGGCCATTACCCAATTACACACAAAGACATTACGGAGATGGGTGGGACACTTATTTGGGGAGAGTTGTGCACACAATGCAATGACAACACATGCTGATACTGAAAATGTGTTTGTCTGTTTGTCACTGTTTGGTGTGCATTTGTGAGTGTTTTTGGCTTATGTTCTGGAATAAAGAGAGTGTGTGTTGTTGCCTCTGTGTGCTCGAGATGTGCAGTGTTAGATGCAAAGCTTTAAATCTTCTTACTTGTACAGCAAGGCAAAGCCTGGCCATGCAAGAAACACACACACACACACACACACTTGCATACGGGCGATTACACCAGTCACTCTCATTCAGATTCCCACACACAGGTTATATTTGTAGCTTTTAGTTTCTGTTAGCGTTGAGGTAATCTGTATTCTGGTGTACTCCTAATAGTCGATGAAATTAACGTTAAATAGACATATGCAATAAAATGATGCAGTCTCTCATTCTGGAGAACAGAACAAAAGTACTGATGACATCATCTTGGACCCACAGGTGTATTGCTTTAAAAGAATACACAGAAGTGCAACGTGAATATAATGTTTTCAAGCACATAAATGCATATTATTTACAATAGACCTTTTTTCACATTTCCGAGTTTCTCAGCAGTGGAAGTCAAGTCGTCATAGTTGGGTTAACTTCGAGAGCAGTGAATGGGAGAGTAGCACAAATATATGTTTTGCATTCCCATTTGCTCAAATAGCAAAAGAAAAACTCCACGATAGTCTTTTCACGACTTTCAATCAAAGGAAAAAAAATTGAGAGAGGTACTGATAACGACTGATCAGATTTACCGTCCCACCCATTGACGCTGCATTAGAAACACCCGCGCAAAACACCCGCGCATTAACTAGGTTTTTTGTAATTTGATGCAAATGCGATCTAATACAAAGTATAGTGTTATAAATGTAGCTACACTTTAAAAAAAAAATCTAAATCTAAAAACCTTTCGAGGATTTACGATGCTGCTGACCGTTGAAACGCGTCATCACAATCTTGTGAAAAGAGTCCATAAAACGAAAATGTATTAAAGTTTAATTTTATATTAAATCAAATTAACTGAATTTTGAGTGTTTTTGACCCACTTAAGTAGGATTTAAGTATATTTTATGTGTAATTTTATAATTCTATTTCCTTTGAAATATGGATGTACTGACAAAATGATAAACTAAAATATACTTTAATATAATTTCTATTGAAACTTGTATGTCATATATTTAAATATATTTGTAATTACACATTTGTAATGATAAAGTTAGTCCATTGAAAATACAACTTTAAATGTAATATCAACAGTTAAAATTATAATAAATTCCTTTACAAGTGCTCTAGTATTGTAGTCCACACATCAAAATAAGTGTACTTCTTTAAAGTACAACAAATAATAATAATATAAAAAAATATATATATTGAAATTGTACTTTAATACATTATTACAAAGTGCACTTTTTACAAGTGTACTTAAGTGTGTTAAAACAGAAAGCAAACTCTTTAGAAAGTGAACTCTTTTAGCACACTTAAGTAGCCATTAATATTATATTATCTGCAAGCACAGTTTTTATACCTGTAAGATTTGAAATACACTACAACTGTGCATTCATTATAACCAAAACAAGGTATGCAGGTTTTTGTCCAATTATATGCTCTTTCTCCAATATTACTAATACCACATGTGTACAGGCTTATCAGACTGAAATATACAGTTTATTCATTCATGTCAGATTTTATTGCCGATTTGAAATATTATAGAAATGTGAGTTTGGCAAGTATGTTTTGAGATTTTGATATTTCCCCATTCAGCTAGATACATCCATGATGAAAAATAGATGGCCGAGTGCGTTTTCAAGATGGCCGCGAGTGAACCCCTGAATCTAGCGTTTGCATTCAAGTACTTGCGTTTTGTACCTAACTGTACTCTCTGTCTGTCTGCAGCCCATGATGAAGCAGTCGCCGTGGGGCAGCCATCAGGGCAGCGGCTGGACCTCTGGAGGGGTGTCCTGGGGCAGAGACCACCGGCGCGGGGGCGGCATGGGTGTGCCCGGCTCGGTCAACCAGATCTCTCCCATGAAGAAACCCTTCTCCAGTAACGTCATCGCTCCGCCCAAGTTTCCCCGCTCCGCCGGCTCTCTGGGACCTAAATCCTGGATCGAAGAAAACATGTTCCGTACCGACAACAACAGCAACACTCTGCTGCCGCTGCAGGTATGTATGTGTGCTGGGATGAGCATCGAAGTACTCGGGCAGGGGTGGGCGGCCCATGCAGTGGGCTCCGTCCATGCTATAATTTAATTGCTGGTCAGTATGCATCTGCAGCAGACGTGTTGTGTTTGTACGCCCGGTACGCCTCTCTGTTGATCAAGAGTATGTTCAGGACCTTCCACAGGATCATGACTCACAATGAGTTCATCGAGGGTTTTGGTGGTTTCATCCTGAAGGAACCTGTCCTCTCCCTTCATTGTTGTTTGGCTCGGGCGGATTCTCACAGACTGAACTCAGTTCTGGACAAAAATAAGCCTTCCAGTAGAGCACTGCTATCGTCAGTGTTTGTTTAGTCTAGGCTTAGAGAAATTATCCCGTCTAGTGTCAGTGTGCTTTTTGGCTAAATCAATTCAATCTGTTTCATTTCCTGCTTGCTGTTAGATGTGCCACCTGGGACTATGAAATGCACATTAATCTCACAGAATCTCAAGCGCAATCTCATGCTCGTATGGCCATCAACCTGTGTTTATTGATTTTCTCCTGGCACTGGGACTGGGAGGTAAATAATGTCTCTGAAATGGGTTTACAAAGATATAAAAATGTATATATACAGTACCGTTCAAAAGTTTGGGATAGGTGCAGTTTTCTTTCTTTTTTTTTTTTTTGAAAGAAAATAATACTTCTGTTCGGCAAGGGTGCATTAATTTGATCAAAAGTGACAAGACATTTATAGTACAAAATATTTCTATAGCAGATAAATGCTGTTCTTTTGAACTTTCATCAATCTTTCATTCTATCAACTTTCATCAAATATTGCTAATCTATATAAATGAAAGTTGATAGAATTAAAGACATAATATCACAGTTTTTTTTCAACATGGATCATAATTAGAAATGTTTCTTGAGCAGCAAATCAATATTAGAATGATTTCGGAAGAATCATGTGACACTGAAGACTGGAGTAATGATGCTGGAAATTCAGATTTGATCACAGAAATAAATTACATTTTACAGTATATTCACATAGAAAACAACTATTTTAAATTGTAATGATACTTCACAATATTACTGTTTTACTGTATTTCTTTTTAAATGTTCAGTATATTGTCCAGCCCTACTTAATACTTCAAGAATTTTAGATCATGAGAATACTTCCAAGCTTGAAAGTGAGAAACTGTGAGGGTGTGAGAAGCTGACAGAGAAAAGGAGGCGAGAGTAACACATTTTTGTCATGTTGCCCCATTGTTTTGTAGATGGAATGAAACAGCAGGTCATGTACATGTGAATCACTGAAGTGTACGAGGAAACTCCCCGCCTGTGGCACCTGTAGCTGGGTGTTCATCCTCTCACTTTGGCTTTAAACCTCCACTGCTAATGTTAACTTTTCAAGTTATACTGCATCCCAAATGGCGCACTATGCACTTATACACTATGTACTTGCGCACTATGCACTCAACCATGTAGCGTATGAATTTTATAAGGTTATTTTGTCATTAATAATCGGAATCTGATAGCCCTTTCCCCTTCACGACGTAATTAAAGCTGCGACAGTTGAGTGCATGAAGCGTCCTACACTTTGTTTTTTCGGTTATTTAAGTGCATCATCTGGGTATTTGAAGTGTACTTATTCTTTTTGGAATTTTCAGTGTGAACGCACTACTCGCACTATTTATACTACAAAACGTCATAGAATAGTGCATAAGTACGCGATTTGGGATGCCCCTTTAGTATCAACATGGTACCATATACTGGTATTTTAGCCATCCTTACGCTCAACTGTTGGCTGATTTTATTCAGGCCCTGTGTGCTAATGGCTGTAGATCGTCATATGTGCTGTTGTATTAAACCAGTTTTGTTTTGACATATTTAAAGTGCCTTTCTGTCGTCAAGAGCTGTGGTTGGTAATATTGGTATGGTCTAATGACTCAGGATTCATTGTTCATTTGTACTTAATTTCGGACCAGATGAGTGTTTGGCACGTCACAGCTAATTCCTTTAATGCCGAGCCTAACAGAACTGAAATGAGGAACCTGATATGCATGCTGTCTGGCCTTCATCACTTTCTTTTTTTTCTCCTCTCTCAGGAAACAGGTCCAACTCTACTAGTATCTACGGTATTGTTCATTTTACATAAACAGGGTGCCGTTTGGAATTCCGCACATTCCACAGCCTCTCCTCTCTCCTCTTCTTCCTTCTCCACGATTGCTCTGCGTTCCAGAGATCAAATGCGTCATGTTCTGAAAAGACAGATATAAATGGAGGAAGGAGGAAAGGATAGAGATACAATGTTGTTACAAAGAGTTTGTTCGATTTCACAGGAAATGTTTTGAAGTTTGAAATTTGAATGTCGGTGACAGAGTTGTAGTCGAGATGAGTTTGAATCAATACCGAGACCAGGGTCGAACATGCTCCCGAGTCCATGGAAATATGGAGACCGAGTCCAAGACCATTTTTCCATATATAATTTAGGAACATGTGGTCTCAGTCTTGAACCAGACTCAAATAAGCTGCTTTCGACTACAAGACATGACAAATTATTTGAAATGGAGGCAGGAGAATAGGAAAAACAGGTTATAAAAAGGTGATTATAAAGAGTCCATAAACGTTTTTCATAAACATTTCAAATTTGGTATTGCATGGTAGCTTGAAACCCAAACTCTCGGATCATGAGTCTTCAGGCCTTGTGTTCTTCGCTGGAGAACTGAAGCGCTTTTCTAGACACTATTTCTGGTAATGTTGCTAAAACTATATTTAGCTTCTTGCAGCCTCGCGCTGTCTGTAAGCTCTGCTGTGAGGGCACAGCAATGATATAAGCTCTTGCTTTTTAAAAACTGCTCTACCTGTGGGAGGCAGATGGCCGTGACAGGGCCAATTGGAAGCAGCTGCATGTGACGCGGTCAACACTGTGTGATTTCCAAACCGCGTCCATCATAAATATACACTAATGTGTCAGTCAGTGTATCTGCAGCAAATATTATATGAGGAAGAAACAATTAGAATTAAGAATTTGCTCCCATGACTTGATTATACAGTATTATAGCCATATTATACTAACTTGTTCTCTCGTTTTAGTCAAATTGTTGCCACATATTAATTTGTTCCCTTATTTTAATTTAGTTTAGTTGTGGTCCTGTTAAACTGACCAGTGCACTTTAGCATCTTGTCTTATAAAGGTTTTCTCAGCAGTGATGCCATAGAACAATTTTTGGTTCCTCAAAGAATCTTTCAGTCAACAGTTCTTAAGAGAACCCTTTTTTTCTTAGCGAAAGAACATTTTAATAATCCAGGGCCGGATTCACAAAACATTCTTAAGAAGAAATTTCTCCTTAACTGCCATTTTCTTCTTATTTTTTAACTTAAGAAAAAAAGTTAAGAATATTTTTGGATTCCCAAAAGTTCTTAAGAATATTCTTATCTTTTTTCTTAAGATTTTTCTAATCTTATTAAATTTAATTTTTCTTAATTCAAATTCTTGAAAATCATCTTCTTAAAAATCATCATAAATAGCTTCTTAAATTTAGGACAGCCCCAGACTTGTCTTAAATCCCAAACAGTAAGAACCTTTTTGCCCATTTTCGATTATCTGGGAGTGACGCGCAGTGACGCGCTACCAAGATGGTGACGGCTGGCTCCGCCCACTTTGAGCTTCAAAAATGCTCTTCAGAAACCTACGGGTGACGTCACAGACACTACGTCCATGTTTTTATACAGTCTATGTATACAACATATAATCGTCACTTCCCTCCAGGTACTGTTTACTAACAATGTGACAGCGCCAACTACTGGCCTGGCATACGTAATACAGCGTTTTTGGCCGTTTTCGCGGATATGTGTAAACGCAAATCATTTTGAAAACGTTGTCATGTGTACGTGAAACTTTTTAAAAACGCAAGGGAAAAACTTTTCCGTTTTTGACTACATCATTGTCGTGTAAACGTAGCTTCAGTAGCATCTCTACAAAAACGAGTCAGACAGGAAGATTTAATTGGACGCTTTTAATTTCTGTCTATAAATACGACATAATCTTTGGCAGTATTCAGCGCATATGAATGCACCGATACAAAGGACACGTTTGCTGTAGCAGCGCGGACACACATACGGAAGTGTTCACTCAGATGAGAGCGCAAAAACACAGCACAAAAATGAATGAAACAGATCGCTGCAGCTTGAGACAGGCTATTTAAAAGTAACTGTTCAAAAACAGGCCGCATTAAAGGGGTCATATGATGTTGCTAAAAAGAACATTAGTTTGTGTATTTGGTGTAATGCAATGTGTTTATGCGGTTTAAAGTTCAAAAAACACATTATTTTCCACATACTGTACATTATTGTTTCTCCTCTATGCCCCGCCTTTCTGAAACGCATAGATTTTTACAAAGCTCATCGGTCTGAAAAGCGAGGTGTGCTCTGATTGGCCAGCTATCCAGTGCGTTGTGATTGGCCGAATACCTCAAGCGTGTGACAGAAATGTTACGCCTCTTAACACACTGTCTGTGATGCCGTGTCCCGGCACGGCGAGACAAAACCAATAAAACCCATTGCAAACGAGTCATTTGTTGCAACCAGTGGGGACATAGTTGCTGATTATAATGACTTATACTGTGTATTTACGCGTTGCGTATTGCGCCACGTAAACATAAAGCCATGTCTGCATTGGAGAAACGACAAACAACAAGCACTACTCACGTTTGAATCATCAGTGGCAAATTCTTTAAATATAAAAAACTTACTTACAGGCTGTGAGTCAGAAGTGCCAGACTGTCCTTGCGAAGTTGAAACTGCCCCACTTTATAGAACAGCCTTTGAGCCACAGACACATTGTATGCTACTCTGCAGGTTCAGGAAACAGTCCTTCATAAAATGCGTCACACAGCATCACACACGGTGGGCTTGAGTGAGGAACAGCAGGCGGACTTGAGAACGGCTTGCGGCAACCACATGTGACAACCCCGGGCTGGACTCCGCTTCGTCCACGGTGAAAGCCGATCCGGCGATCCACAGATCATGCAAATCTTCCCACATCGTGACGTAGACATATGGAGGCGTGTTTAAACGGGCCATTTTAGGAGGGCGTAGACAAGTTTTAACTTTTATAAAGAATATCTCTTTGGATTTGAGACTTTAGTCTTTGCAACTTTACAGATCTTCTTTATGCACCAAGAGCTTGTAACACTCCAAAGAGAAAGGACAAATTGAAATCGCATCATATGACCCCTTTAAAAACGTGAAGCTGAGCGCCAGTCAAGGTCACGACGAAAATATTGTGCATGCTTATTATGATTATTAGGGTAATCTGCAGGAAGCGTAAAAATACAATAAAGTGTGAGTTTTTCAGTGTGTCATGTATTCACTTTTGAAAGAAATGTATTTAAAAAAAATTAAGATGTTCTTAAGAATATATTTCAGAACTTAAGAATTTTTCAAGAATTACACTTAAGAACATTCTTACGAACTTTGTGGAATTTATCTTAAGAAATTTCTTAACATTTCTTAAGAAGATTTTCATGAATCCAGCCCCTGAAGATCTTTTTCCACTATATAGAACCTTTTGTGCAATTGAAAGATTCCGTTGATTTTAAAGGTTCTTAATGGAACCACTGATGGCAATAAAGAACCTTTTATTTTTAAGTGTATAAAAGTTTTTTTTTGCATTTTTTAATCTAATTTTTATCATTTTGATGTTCATACTTTAGTTTGCTTATAGGAGGCGCTCTTATACAATGTCCATGCCCAAGGTTCTGCCATTTGCTCACCGAACACCGAAGTGCACTAGTGTTGGGTGATATGCTCAATTGTCAGCCTGTGAGATCGCCGATATCGTACTAATTTATTTAAATATTTATTTACTCAGTTTACTGACTTTAGTCTAGCGCGAGTTTATGCACTTTAAAAACACTCCCGTTATAATCAGTGAAAATATCTACACTGCATGATGAATAAATCTCTTATATTTACATCTCACGTACATCTGCACTTTGTTGTTTATGATGAGAGAATTTGCAAAAGCATGCGCTGAACAACAAAACTCCGGTGTTTCAGCGATGACTCATCTGAACGCCTGAGTTGAACTCTGATTGGCCATTGCATTCATAAAGTGTCTATAACGCGCAGCACTGTAAAGAACAAATAAGCCCTAATATTAATTAGATAGTATTACTAGCCTGATAATAATAATAATAATCTTCTTGCTATTGTCAAGGCATCAGCCACTCTGACTATCGTCGATACGATATCAGCACAACCCTAAAGTGCACATCTATCATTACTAACAATTTTATAAAGGCGCTTATATGCATGTTTGGTCTCAACACAGAGGTTTTTTTTTCATTAGAATAACTGTAAAGCTGGACTGAAGTAATCTGGTATGATCCTGCCACAGAGCAGCTGCTGTTGGTTAACGGGTGTTTGTTAGAGATTTAGTGTGATAGACCGCATACTAAACCACTTCATACTGCACCATAATCTACATAAACTAGAAACTACAGGTTATCAAGAGCAAAGTGCACACCATTCATGACCATCATAATATTATGAACTATATTAAAGACAACTGTGTTTGCAGAGCATTTAACTTCATATTGTAGCGTATTTTAGAGTGAAAAAGAATAGTCAACAAATGAGGGACAGGACTTGATTTTATCACTCAAGATTTGATTGGATGACAATTTGTAGGGATTTTAATAATTTATTACTAGTTAATATCATGTTACGCATCTCATGTGGTCTTGGTTACATTATACTGTAAAGAAACAAAGGTTGTTACATGCTGTTTAAGAAGAATTAAAACATTTAGACTAACATACACTGCAAGACCTCTCTAACATTTGTATCTGTTTAGGTAATAGTCAAATAGTTCTTTTAGTTTCTATAATACTAAAAATGCCATATTTTAAAAACACAAGAAGTACTATTTAACATACATTTTAAATTTTATTTGTATTTTTTTAAGGTAGTTATTATGGAAATAATATACTTTAATATATTTAAGCATTAACGGAATGTAATGTTTTCAGACTCATGTAAATATTTATATGATGTGTATTTGCTGTTTAGTGCATTTAATTTAATTAGCTTTAAATGGTATATTGAACAGACTTTTGTTAAAATTACTTTACATGTGCATTAGTATGTTAGTTAACACATCAAAATAAGTGTATAACAATTAAATTGTTACATTTTAGATTATAAATATATTTAAAATGTACTTTAAAAATGTTTAATTTGATATCGTATTTCAGTAAGTGCACTTTTTAAAAGTGTACCTAAGACATTTATTCATGCAAGAGTGCTCCCTTTAAGTACACTTAAGCAGCCTTTTATTTTATTAATGTTACTTGTTAAGTACACTAGTAAGTGCACTACAAGTGAACATTCAATACAAAGTCTATTTCTTTTTCAGAAGTGTATTCATAATGAGGGTCCCCTGTGTTTAGCCTGAAGCTCATGGTCTTGGTCTTGTGTGTGTGAGCGTGTGTTTCCGGTGATGTGCACACACACACACACACACACACACAGGTCTGTGAGGGCCGGCGGGTGGCGGAGAGCTCTGTTTGTGTTCACATTCCTTCTTGGTCTCATTGCGGTAATGACACAGATATCTGTGGCATGTTGTTAGGCAGGTGTTGTGACTGGGAGATAAGACGCTGCTTTAAACGTCTACAGAAGGGAAGAGGGATATTCTGGTAATGCAGCTGAATAACAAAAACAAGCAACACTCACAAATCTCCCACACACGCCTTGGATACGTTTTGCCTAAAAACAGCCACGTGGTGAGACTAGTTTGGCTGAACGTTCATTCCAAAATACACTAAACCTAACAAAGCAGCCTGGTTAATTCCACTCGTGACAGCTCCACAAACAACATTCCAGCGGCATTCAGTATTCAGGGATTCAACGCTGACCAGTATGCAGAAAAAATGCCATTCCATGCGTTCAAGCGTGCCCGTTTGCTCCTGACTGCATTAGTGTGCTGCATGCAATCCCATAATTCCCAAACAGACTACATCTGTATCGCAGATATTGACACGTTCCTCAACTCTCTCTTCCTCAGGATCGGTCCAGGATGTACGACAGCTTGAACATGCACTCGCTGGAGAGCTCCCTGATTGACATCATGAGGGCGGAGCAGGACCCTCTGAAGGGTAAGATCCATTTCCTGCTCACCATGAGAGTCTTATAAGGCTTTTGAAGACAGGAAGTCGAGGACAGTTTCATTATATATGGTTCATATGAGGTCTGTCTTCATCACTGTCAAAGAAGATCTGGCATTTGTACTGATTTAGCTTATTTTCATTAATGGATTAATTGAAATAAAAGGAGAATATGTTTTAGAAGATTACGTCGAGCTTTGCAATGGCCAGTGTTGCTTCCAGAGATAATGGTTTCTTAATATCAAAAAGTCTGGTTATAAAACAGATCATCCGTGCTCTAAAATCTGATCGGATGACGTTCAGAGAGGTTGTAAAACAGCCAGTATACACACACCTATACACATAACATAACATAAACATGCACAAATATGTTGCGTCTTTCATATTTTTTTTGTCTTGTAACAGTTTTTATTCATAAATTAGTCTAACATAAGCAATAAGTTACCTGAGGCTGTGTGAAATAGTAAATGTCAGTATGAAAGCACAGTTGATTATTCTGTCCCCTACTTATTGTGCAATAATCGACATATTATGACTCCAACATATTCAACATGTTATTACTCCAATTATATTTAAATAATAGCATACATGTTATGTAATGTTTTCAAACACACAATTGCATTTTAATTGTAATTAAATTAAAATGTATTATAGTTCAAATTTATATTAAATGCAATAAGCTTCCCTGAAGTATGTAATTTCATAATTACTACATAATGTACTGACGAGCATTTATGCTAAACTAAAATATACTTAAATGTCATTTTTATTGGAACGTGTATGTCATATAATTATAATGACACATTTGTAATGATCCGGTTGCAATTTACTATATTTAAAATATCTAATATAACTGTAAATGTACATGAAAAAATACTCTACAGTTAAAATTATAATCAAGTATTTGACATGTTCATCAATACATCAAAATAAGTGCACTTCTTTAAAGCACACCAAAAGATTATTAAAACAATGATTTAAAATGCACTTTTAGTGTGCACTTTAAAGTGTGTAAAGAAACAGTCATGCAAGTGTCTCTCTTTATGTACATTTAAATGACCTTTTATTTCATTATCTGTAAGTACAGTTTATTTTTAAATGTACTTTTATAAAATGTACTACAAGTGCACATTCAATACAATTAAGTGCACTTCTTTTTCACAAGGGATGCTAGGCCTCTGAAACGACTTTCCATTTTGGATGACATCACAAATCCCTCTCAGTTTCCCCCCCTTTCCTTCATCTTACGCCCACTTTTCCTAATCAAGCGAAGTCTCGATGGATATGATCAAGTCCTCTCCTACACATTTTACACACAGAATATCGTACTGTAAAATAGGTTGCCAAGCCAACAGCGTTTATGTTGGAGGTTTTCAGGTAATCTAATCATGGTAAAATCACTGTAATGCACTCTCTCTATCTCTCTCTCTCTCTCTCTCTCTCATGTCCTTTTGCTTTATTTTGTGTTGAGCGGCATGTGTCTGTGTCATAGGAGGGCAGAGAGGTGCGTGTGGTGCTGTGATCAGGGTGTGGCACTGCGCTACACTCACTCTCTTCTCGCTCAGCCTGCTGGAGCAGATGGACCAGACACATGGGGCGGCACTCACTGCAGAGACCCAGAGAGGGAAGGGCGTGGGTACGGCTATATTTAGCGCAGGACACACTCTGCCACCGTGTGAGACAGATACAAGACAGGAGAGAGAATGTAGGTCTCTACGGTTTACACAGGCCCTCCTTTAAAGTCAGCATGAAACCTGATTTATGTTAGTACTTGATCGTGCATGACTGATAATGCAGCCGTTCTAAATTATTGCCACAGTTAATGCTATAATTTAATGCTGGTTGCTGTCAATGTGATAAAGGTTATTGCAATGATAGCACATAACAATATATAATATATTCAATTAGCATTTCATGTTGACTTTAATCTGGAAATTGGGGGTTAATAGTACAAAACCATCAAATTATGATCTACGTGTTTTATTAGCTAAGCTACCTGTGCTTTAGCTTTTCAAACATGGCATCATGCGCTTAACCCTTTAGGCGCCAGGGTTTTTTTGGAAAAAATGCTGGATTTTGACATCAAGATTTCAAAAGCTTGTGGCTTGAAAGGGCGAACAGATCATGGGAGATGTGCTGAGCGAACCACATTTCTAAGAAACCTGTTTAATGAACGATGGTTCAGTTAATGGGTCGTCACGAGAGGATGCCAGCATCAGGGAATGTGCTGACTCTCGCTAAAGTGTTCAAAACAACGCAATGCTGTTGAAATATTAAACACTTGGCAGAGATATCAGACCGCTATACAGTATCGGTTTGTCTTGTGATGTTGTGCGTAATCACAAAGCAGATGAAACGAAACAATAGTTTGATTTACTGTGGATAGACGATGAGAGCTCTGAAACATTGTAATGTCTCTAGGAGCATCCGCGTTTAATAAGTGGACAGCAGATGGTGTGTGTGTGTGTGTGTGTGTGTGTGTGTGTGTTAAGAGGACTTACAGAGCTGATTCTCTGTGTACCTGGATGTTTTCTAAAAAATCTATCAAACTAGATTATGGATAAATCTCAGGACAGCATGTCCAGGTTTCCATATTTGACCCCAAAATATTATATTTTTGATATATAAAAAAAAAGCCCTGCAGAAAAATACTCACTTTTGACTTGTTCTGCCAACTATTAGACATCTAGATTACATTATCTGTGTGACAAATGAGCAGAATTTAATTTTTCACCATTTCAATTTGCCCTTCTCTCTATCTGACGGGGCCCCTTGCTTTGGTTGGGCCCTTGAAATCATCCTAACCATCCCCCATGTTGCAAAGCCCCTGACAAATACAGTAAATGTATCTGTGTCTTAAGTGCTCATGTGTCAACTGGTATGTGTCATGTGACAGAGCTTCAGATTTGACGCTCTATGTTTGCATATGTCACGTGACTGGGGTCAAACTTAAGGGTGACCTAGTAACACAGCAAAGCTAATTCATAATTTCTAGAAACATTCCTCATGAGAAACAAGGGCTTTGTTTCACAATCCTAATAGAATTAGAACCTCTTATAAGGCCTGTGATAATAACTATATTAGCATTGACACCAATGCATCAGTCTGTTTAACACTGCAGTTATATCGTCTACCTCTTTAAATGCTCTGTCCGAGGGATTCTGATTAGCTGTCAGTGTTTTTATCATTCATTAGTTGGAGAAGTCATTGTGAATGTGATTCCAATTATATTATTCCTCTGTGTTGTTATCATTGAAGTTGTGATGTAGACTATTCTCAAATAATTAAAGTTATAGTTATTGTAAATGGTGTGAACGCAGCCAATTTGGATTCTAGCATTAAAATATAAGGAAACATACTACTCTTCACGTGAAGCGCATGAGAGGACCAACCAACTGATTCTCTGTTGTTAGCATGTTGCTAATCTAAAGATACAATGTTCAACACATAAAAACACAACCAGAATTGCAGAGGTTGTTAGCTGGTCTGTTCCAGTGAGCTTGTTGCAGTGCAATCTGGGATCTAGATGCTTAAAATTTCTCCCTACATTTGCAGCTCTGTTGGTTTTATAACGCTGGCATGTGGCTATATTTTTCATACTGCTCTCTCTCTCTCTCTCTCTGTCTCCCTCTCTCATGTTCAGGCCGTGTGGGATGCCCCCACCCAGCCGCTGATGGCCTACTCATGCTCAATGGTAATTATAACAGTGAGCTACAGTATTTTTTCTTCTGTCTGTAATACATTACAAAACAGTCCAATGTAGGACTGGAAATCTACATATTTTTGATGAAGACGGGCTGCCTGAAACAAGTTGCTATTCACATTGATGTAACATACTCTTAATATCACTCAAAGGTTCTGTCTTAATTCATTCATTTTGATGTAATGCTTGTGATGTAATGTTATTTTCCTGTTAATTTTGCATCCGAGTTACAAATGAATAGTTACGCAATGGGATTTCAACAATTTAACATTTTCATTTGATACATGGTGAGGTAATCCTGTCTGACCAATCAGCTCGCTGCATTCAGACGGAGCGTCTGCCAGTAGGGCTCCGTCCATTTTTAGCCAATGTGACTGAACTCTTGCTTGTTGTGTTTGGCTGGGCTGATATTCGCTACGCTCAGTTTGGATCACAGTCTCTGAAGCTGGGCAGGACTGTGCTTTGCTCTTTTGTGATGACATATTTCAGTAACAGCTGTTGCTGTCTTTTTTGGATAATTGGATCATCATAGATTATACTCTAAAAATAACTGTTGTTGTAGCCGAAAGGCTTCGTTTTGTTTGCTTTAATCAGTGGTGTTTACTAAGTCAAGCATCACTATTGCTCATATTTAGGGTTAGTGATCTGAACAAACCCCTAAACAGATGTATTACACTTACATTTTATGTAGGTACATTGATGGATTGACCTCAGCCATATCTAGAGACTAGATTATTGGTTTTGGGGATGGACTAGCAGTATAGCTTTTTTGATGGCTGATGCCAATATCTTGGAGAGCAGGATGGTCCATATCAAGCAATATATGCGATTACACCATTTAATTCAGAGGTCTTCAACCCCACTTCTGGAGGCCCATGCTGTGTCTGAAATCGCATACTATCTAGTATGTTTGCGTTGAAACTAGGGATGTTCATTTCGGTTATTTTTCCTAACCGACAAACGACACTCGTTAACCGATTATTAACCGTTAACCGATAAGATTATTTTAAATTAGACTTGAATTAAATTAGAGAGGATAAGTGATATTTGTAGTAAAAATGGGTTGCACCTAAATGGTGAAATAGGCTACACTAAAAAAATAAAAAATAAATAAAAAATGGAATGCTTGTTTTGGCAAGTATTCATGCAAACACAGATTTTTTTTCAGTCTTGATTGTAAACAGTTGGACCTTGCGTTTTGGTAAATTGGTTCCAAATTTGTATGTTATGTTAGGTTTCATTTGTACATTTCATACAACCTGCCCACACCACACTGAAGGTTAGGGCTGCAGGTTCATGCTTTTTTTATCACAAATTGTGATGTACGTTTTCCAACAAATCACATTATATGTAGATATTTGTAGTAAAAATGGGTTGCACCTAAATGGTGAAATAGGCTACACTAAAAAAATAAAAAATAAATAAAAAATGGAATGCTTGTTTTGGCAAGTATTCATGCACAGGAATGCATCTTGTTTGTACACCTCCTCTGTTTTTGTTAGTCATATTATATTTTATTATATTATATTATAAAACTGACAGTCATTTTGTAGTCTTTTTGCTAAACATTACTGAAGAAATACTTTGTTTGGTGGAAGGATTATTATTTATCATCAATAAATTATTATATTTTTGTTACTGTATGTTTATCTCACAACACCTTGCCAGCTATGTAGTAACCATTTTATAAAAACAATAAGCTGCATGAAGGTGGCAGGTTACTGATAACAGCACTGAGACACATAAAACCTAAAACCTCCACTGAGTGCAGATCTGCAGACAAAATGGCTGCTGCTGATAAGAGCTGCTGATTTACTTTCATTCGATGGAGAATTTGAGGAAAATTATTTATTTCAGTGAACTTCACCTTGCAGATATATTGAACAGGGTTTGCTTAGTGATCAGGGCCACACTGAATTGTCCAGCTTTAAAGTTCTTAACCTCATAAAAATCATGATGTATCTTTATGAAAAAAAGGATCTGCAGCAGTTCCTGCTTCTCTCTCTCGTCTCTGTCTGATTGTCACGATCTCATATTTCCCACAGATGAAATCACGAGCAGTTTTCGGCGCTTTGGTCATCTGGTTGTTGATTGGCCACACAAAGCAGAGAGCAAGTCTTACTTCCCCCCTAAAGGTACGTCTAGAAAAATCACCACATTCATAGCAAACACAGCAACAGAAACCTGCATGTACATACATTGTACTAGACACTATTACTGATTAGAATTCTCTTTCTGTTTTTTTATTATTTAGTACATTTTAAGTGTACTAATTTAAATGTTTTAAATAAAATGATTGAATATGTAATAATGAATGTTCTCTAGAACTAGCAAGAATCTCCCAGTGCCTCTGGTTCTTGTGATTAGTTTTTATTCATTCAGTCAGAAATCGCATGTTACACAGAGCTGTCATGGTTACAGTGATTGACTGTTGTGGGTTTTTGTCTAGGTTATGCCTTCCTCCTGTTCCAAGAGGAGAGCTCAGTTCAGGCACTGATCGAAGCCTGTCTGGAGGAGGACGGGAAACTCTACCTGTGTGTGTCCAGCCCCACCATCAAAGACAAGCCCGTGAGTCCACACTGTAGCGAATCAGCTCAAAGGGGAAATATGAATAATTAATCATAACTAGTTATAATTAATTATAAATATTTAGATCCGCTGTAAGTATTTACTTGACCTCTCAGGGTCAACTGTCTGTCAATTCTAAGAACGTTAATCAACCACCCTATAATGCTAAAAATCCACCCGTTCCTTTTTTTAATCCCCATAAAATATTAGCATCTGTCAAATGTGACATCGCATTTTACAAGCCCAGCCCTCGACTGTTGATGGGCACTTTTCTTTTAACTGAGATTTTCTGTTTTTATTTTATTGTTTGGGTCATATTAACAGTGTAGACAGCAGTATACTGTAAATTACGCTGCTGTCACTTAATACATGTCACAGTCTTCAGCGGGTGTGCCCAGGATGGCCACCAGATGACACTGTGTTCTGTGAGCACATGGCTTGTGTTGTGTTTGTTTGTTGCCATGTGCTCTCTCCTGTCTATACTGTTTTTGTAACTCATGTGTTTTTAACATAAACTTGCGTGTATTTGACAGTTTAAGCACAATGAGACATGAAAGAGAACTTAGTTTGGTACTCACATGCCGTGTGACAGCTGCTTTCTGTGTGTTCACTTCGGATGTGTGCGCTCAGGAAACCGTGTATCACAGGTTTAAACTGATATGGTTTAAAGGGGACCTATTATGCCCCTTTTTACAAGATGTGAAATAAGTCTCTGATGTCCCCTGAGTGTGTACGTGAAATTTTAGCTCAAAATACCCCACAGATCATTTTTTATAGCTTGTTTATGTTGCCACTTTTAGGGTATGAGCCAAAACGTGCTGTTTTTGTCTTTGTCCCTTTAAATGCAAATGAGCTGGTGCTCCGCCCCCTTTCAGAAGAGAGCGGAGCTTCAAGAGCTTATGCTCCCGTCAGCACACCAGCAACACACAACAATCTCATGCACTGAAACTGTCAGAAACTCTCAAGCGATCGACTCACATTGCTTTCATACGCATTTTTTAACGACCACATTCCTATTTACGATCATTCTGGTAGCACATGAAGGCAGCATCAGTGAAAACAGGCAGAGACGATGGTAGCTTTAGCAACATTAGCCTTACAAGAGTGCTAAGAAGCTCTTTCAGAAAGGCAATTTCAAAACAAAATATGAAGCGCTTTGTCTGGATCTAACGTTCGCGCACGACTTTGCGAAAATCCAGGGTTTGTGAGGCAGTCCAGTGTAAAATGATTGGCATGACTTTATTGATTTTTTTCGGTACATTTCCTTCGAAAATGCAACTTAACCACAGTGTCCTTAGTGGCTCAGGTGGAGGGAGTCTGTGGAGCTCCTATGTTCATTGGTGCATCCCAAAACACAACACTTGTAATGCCTCTTTGGCGCTGACATTGTATATCTCGCTCAGGGCTGTGTTTATGCTAATAGGGCAGAGAGCATCACAAATGGGCGGGGATTTATCCCGATGGTGACATGTACCTAGGGAGAAATCTGGAATCGCTTGTTCTGAGTGTTTATGATTTAAACACTGTTTATGATTTATTGGGATTATTACAAAAAATGAGTGGGTGGATTTTTACCATTATAGGCTGGTTGTTTTCACACACTGCAGCCACACAACTTTGTTCAAACACCTTATAGAAGTGATTTTTGCATAATAGGTCTCCTTTAAAACACATGTTTTCAGTGTGATAGACGTGATAATCAAAACCAAACAGATGGTTTTTTTAGCAGAGATCTGAGGTACAAGCTATAAAGGCACAGCCCTTCTCTGGGAAAGGGGGCGGGGAGCAGCAGCTCATTTGCATTTAAAGAGACATGCAAGAAAACAGTGTGTTTCTGCTTCCACTCAAAACAGGCATTTTCAAAATGATATAGTAAATGTTCTGTGGGGTATTTTGAGCTGAAACTTCACAGACACACTCTGGGGACACCGGAGACTTATATTACATATTGTAAAAAGGGGCATAATAGGTGCCATTTAAAGCATGACAAAATATTAAAAAAAAATCATGAAAATGTTTTCTTTAATATTGTATTTTAGATTGGAAGTACACTACAAGTGCACATTTAATGAAAATACGTGCAATTCTTTTTTATGTTGTCATGTACACTGTGTTTTATATGTGGGATCTTTATGTGGTTTTTCAGGTCCAGATTCGTCCGTGGAATCTGAATGACAGTGATTTTGTGATGGACGGATCTCAGCCACTGGACCCTCGCAAAACCATCTTTGTAGGAGGAGTGCCACGTCCACTCAGAGCTGGTACGCTAAACACACGACTAGTTGTCGTATGTGTTATAAATTGCTGCATATGATGTACACAATGTGAAGAGATGCCAATTATCACAACAAATAATCTAAAATGAATTTAAAAATTAATAAATGTTGCTGTTTTCATAACTACTAATTTCATAACTTATAATTTCAAAAAGTATTTAAAAGTTAGTGTTAAAAAAAAAGTAAAAAAAAAATGACAATGTATTTGTAGTAATATTGTCACGGGGCTGACGAGACGTGAGACGTGTGGATCCATCTGCAGGCTTTATTAAAGAGACGTGGTAAACAGGCAGGGTCAAACAATGGCAAACAGGTATATGGCGGGCAAAACACAAGAATAGTCCCAGGGCTAGCGTAGGTCACTGATCGGCAGACAGAATCACAGGGGCGAGACGAGAGGGAAAAATCCAGGAATACAGGCAAAGATCAGAAACCGCGGAAACAGGCAAGGCAAGGCAAAACAACGGAAGTCCATGACCGAATTCGTGACAGATATATTCTTCCATTCAATAGTCTTACATTTTTTAAATGTATTAATTTCATTTTAACCGATGTGACAATTTCAAATGATGTCCTCCATGTGTTTTTTTTTTTTTTATTAAATAGACTTTAATGGTATGTTTCTCTGCAGTGGAGCTGGCGATGATCATGGACCGCTTGTATGGTGGAGTGTGTTATGCAGGCATTGACACTGATCCAGAGCTGAAGTACCCAAAGGGGGCGGGGCGTGTGGCCTTCTCCAATCAGCAGAGCTACATCGCTGCTATCAGCGCCCGATTCGTCCAGCTGCAGCATGGCGACATTGACAAACGGGTAAATAGAAAGCACTTCAGGGCTCTAGACTCATTGCCCCCACTGGTCGCTCTTTTGCGACTAACTTTCTCAGTTTGTCGCACAAACACAATTTGTTAGCAATTTTTTTTTTGCTACAACATGGGATTAATCATTGCATGCGGATAAACTTTTATCATAGTTTAATGGTAACGAAAGTGGTTAACATTCAACCCGTTCTTATTCATCAGTACTATTATTTGTGAATGGGAGTTCCTCTGTTGCTATGTTATAAGTCAGTGTCGGGCTTCGGATGCTTTCATTTTCGAATTTGTCACATTTCACAAGAAAAGATAATTGTCGGACACGGACACGGACACAGACACACACAGACACACACAGACACACACACACCTTTCAATTGCAAAACTAAAGCAAAAGATGGATTCATTGTTATTCTTAATTAAAAAACACAACAACAATAAAACAGTAGGCTACAATGACAAACTAGCTTACATAACGTTTAACAAAAATGAATAAGGCATGGCATACACCACATGCTGTATTATATAGAGCAAATAGGACTCTTATTAATAACGAAATAAAACAAAACAAACAGAAACTACCCCGTAGGGGAAACCGACCCGCAACAAGACTAGCAAGGCTTGGCAATGCTGGACAAGACAGGGCAAGACACGAGGCATACATACAACATTCAACGACAATCTGGCCCGGGACTGCAAACACAAGGAGAATAAATAGAGAGCAAATGAGGAGGGGAATGAGGGAAACACAGGTGGGGCAAATTAACCAATAATCAGGTAACAAGGTGGGTGGGATTAGACAATAGCCCTGAGAGCACATGGCACAAGAAACCAAACAAGACAAAAAGTCATGTGCTCACACAAAACAAAAACACATGGCCAGCAAAACAATCATAAGCCATGTGCTTGAACAAAACAAGACAGAAACACGCAGCTAATGAGAATACTCATAAGCCGTGTGTTCACACACGACGTGACAACATGAAAGCACGCAGCCAATGAAAAACACAAGCTGCGTGCTACACAGCACAAGACATAACATGACATGACATAAAAGCAGCAGCCGAAAACACAAGCTACGTGCAACACAAGACAACAGTACAAGCACGCGGCTGAACGCAAACCACGTGCTACACAAAATTATGTTTTATTAACAAAGTTCGGGAGGAGCACGTTCAGATAAAATTAACCAATAATCAGGTAACAAGGTGGGTGGGATTAGACAATAGACCTGAGAGCACATGGCACAAGAAACCAAACAAGACAAAAAGTCATGTGCTCACACAAAACAAAAACACAAGCTGCGTGCTACACAGCACAAGACATAACATGACATGACATAAAAGCAGCAGCCGAAAACACAAGCTACGTGCAACACAAGACAACAGTACAAGCACGCGGCTGAACGCAAACCACGTGCTACACAAAATTATGTTTTATTAACAAAGTTCGGGAGGAGCACGTTCAGATAATTAACCTAATTAACACGAGAGGTGCACAATCAGTAATCAATCCAATTAACAAGATAAGAGGTGTGTATATATACACAGCAGACCTACCTCTGTTTCTTGACAGTTTTTCCAGAATCCCTCCACCACCCCTTCTCCGCACTTACAACTATTTCTGTACTAACCTGTAGGGGGGTACTCTGGGTTCGGGCCAAAATTGCAAGCTCGGAGCCCTCCCCTCGGACAGCATGCCAAATACGCATAACCTTTACTCTATTTATTATGATGTTTTAAAGTGTAAGCCTCACTAAATGTTGTTTGATTTATGATTAAAGAAAATAAAATCAGACCTTTACTCTGTTTATTATATGTAAGTGTGAACTCGTGAAAAACAATGCATATGGACAGGAGAGCGCACGGCCCGAGCGAACTAGAGAGTGCACGCTCACACAACAAGACAGAACATGGTGCGTGAGTGTCCGAACCCCGACACGAAACCGAAACTTGAACAGGACATGAGTGCCGGGATCCGAACACCACGCTCCAACATGAAACCAGGCACGGCTTCGAGTATCCACATAAAAACACGACATGACGGGAGTGTCAGGGCTCTGTCACAAAACCATGAATAAACTAGACCGAAGTGACAGAACCCCAACAATAACGACTAATAAATTACAGAACGTTTAGCAAACACTGAGGAATCAAAAAAAAATAAAATAAATAAAAGAAAGCCTCTGTAGTGTAACGTGAGGTAAACAGCAAAGATAACAAGCTTTTCAAAATGAAAACAAAAAGAGAAGTAAAACTAAACTGGCTGTCGGTGAAAGGATTTGAATGTTTTTTACACAAGAATACCAACATGTTCACCTTCCCTGGTTTAAGAAGCGGTCTTTTACTTTACTTTAGCTTGAAAAGCAAATCTTCCATCTTCCATCGTTTCCTCAATATTTGCGTAATTTTTGCCGCGTGCTGCGCGCACCTTCGCGCTCATGCTGATATGGCAAGTATAAACCAGGCTCTACACCTGAAGCACTGGGAAAGCGCCTCCGTCACTCTCTTCACGTGATCAGTGAAATCTGACTCCTGCTACAATGTGCCACAGCTCTGCAACGCGCACTGTATGGAGCAGACGCTTTGGACCAGCACAGACCATGCACTCGCACAAATGCGACAACGTCAAACTATAACTCGCACATTCTCAAAAAATTGTCGCAGTCTAGAGCCCTGAACTTACATGTTTGTTAGAGACTATTAACATCCAGGGGTGCGTTTCCGAAAAGCAACTATGGTCGCAAGTTCCGTCGTTACCAATAGAGTTGAATGTAATTAACGACCATAGTTAGCTAACGATGCTTTTGGGAAACGCACCCCAGAATAGCACACTACCATACTACTCTTAGTATATCAGTAGTGTATAGTATGCATACTGTGCATAGTATGCTATTTTTTTATTTCCTGTGTACATACAATACCCAAGTCACTTGCTAGATTTGTCAAAATGTGCAATGTAACAAAGAACATATGCCACAATGCAACTGATATTTCTTTCAGTTCATCCGTCACATTGTGTGTTAAGAAACATAGTCAAAAATGTGCACTTACTTTTTATAATATTATATTATCGCTAAGTAGTTTTATATAAGATTTGAATAACACTACAAATGCACATTCAGTACAATTAAGTGCACCTCTAGCATTGCATTGAGTATAACTAACTACATGTAATGATTATACCAAAACTCTGTTTTAGATATTGTAATACTGTATTTTCTTAAAATATTAAAACCTTTGAATAATATAATGATGTTGAGTAGTCCAATGCTATAAATGTGTCATTATTTTACCCATGACTTTATAGTCCAATTCATATGCACAAAATAGCAATATCATGGTCAGCGTTGGGAAGTTACGCTAAAAAAGACTTCAACAGTGTAATTAGATTAATATACAAATTACTTTCTCTATAAAGCATTGCATTACTTATTACGAATTACTTTTCAAATCCCATATCAACCTCAACCAGTTGAACAATATAAGGATAAACATGAAACTGATCTGATATTGATATTTGAAAAAAATGATTTTTTTTTTTTAATTAAAATAAATAATATAAAATTGTATAAATTATTCTTGAACTGACCAAATTATTTAAATGGAGAAGGTTACATAAAAAAATAAATAAGAGTAATCCATTACTTTACTTTTTCAAGGGAAAATTATTTAAATTACTTGGCAATGCATTACGCCCGACACTGATCATGGTACTGTTTAAGTAGCTATATCAGCTCCTGTACTTTACCAGAATTGAAATTAAACTACCGTGTTCTGTTATTCATGTCACACAGGTGGAGGTGAAGCCGTATGTGCTAGACGACCAGCTGTGTGACGAATGCCAGGGGGCACGTTGTGGTGGAAAGTTTGCCCCGTTCTTTTGCGCCAACGTCACCTGCCTGCAGTATTACTGCGAGTTCTGCTGGGCAAACATCCACTCCCGCGCCGGCCGCGAGTTCCACAAGCCGTTGGTCAAAGAGGGAGCCGACCGCCCCCGGCAGATCCACTTCCGCTGGAACTGAAGACGGGGACTCCGGGAGCGGCAGCATGCAAGACGACGCAGAAACAACACGTCTGCTGCGGGAAGAAAAAGATGCTTAGTTTGGCCCCTGAACCTAAGCTGTCAGTATAGAGTACATAACCGTATACAGTATATAGAGAATATATATGACTATAAATATATAAATATATCTTTATCTTTTGTAGCAGCCAGAAACACTACAAGCCTCAGTTTAAACTCACAACAAGTTTATTTCACCAAACCACTTCGTTCTCCTCCCTCCCTGTACATCTCAGGCTCAGAACAGAGTTTTTGTGGTACGTTCGTGTTTTTTAAAAAGGAGATTAAGAAAAAAAAAGAGATTGATTTTTTGTAGTTTTTTTCAAATTATTTTTATATGTGAGATTTAAAAAATAGAAACGAGAATGTTTTCGCTTGGGGGGGCAGCCTGTCCGTTCTGTTCATTCGTTCTGTCCGTCGTGTGTCCGTCTGCTGCTAAATCCCCCCCCAGTGGGCAAAGTGCGCAATTGTCTCTGGAAAACCCTTGATGACGTAATCTGTGATGCCTGCCCTGGATCTCGAACCAAAGGTAGCAAAATGTGCGGCCTGAAAACGAGACGTTCGCCGCGGAATATACTAAAAAAAATAGTAAGAGTAATACCCCCCCCCCCCTTGATGTTTCGCTCCAATGTGCTCTTAGCAGGAATAGGAATGATTCAATAACGAATTACTGAGACTTTCCATTTTCCACTGGCAAAAAAAAGACAATACCTCAGAATATTAATCTGGCTTGTTATTGCTCTACTCTTGCAATTTAATCACAAGCTATAGAAGAAGCTTTGCTGCTATATAGGATATAACGAATAGATAGTGTCGGTGTTCTATGTAATGCCATTGTGACGTCACTGGCGATGTCATACACAGCAATGCAGTCCGTTCCCTCTCGCACGGCATGGCCGATCGCCGCCATGGAAACACAGAATGTGAAAACTTACGTGCATGTTTGTGGCTGTACATCATTTGCATGCAGTATAAAGGTTACCAGCACATATAAGATAGAAAAAAACACAAACAAAACATGATGCATATTAATGATAAACAGAGGAATTTATGTAGCATGAGGCGAAAAAAGGTCAGACACTTAGATATATAAGATAATCAATACTAATATTGAAAGGAAAAAAAAAACAGTGTAAAATTCTTCGTAAAACCTTTGCATGCGTTGTTGTGATGGTTCCTTTACGAAACTATTATGAGAGAAGTGACGTTAGTTTTTAGAGTAGTGAGTTCTGCCATTTTGTAACTCGATAATTAGTCAAGAGACGGTGTGCTGTCCTGTGGTTTTCTTGTCTCGTCTTCGTGCCGTGTGAGTCTAGTTATGAATTGAGGTTTCAGTTCTACGATCTAGAGGATCGTCTCTTGACATTTAACCTCTGCCCTTCATGAACACCCCTGAATGCCACCCCTCGTATTGCGATAGAGCGCAGGACTTTGATATGTGTAGTTCGTAGGAATTCGCCGAAGGAATAGTACCCGTGGTCGTTTTGTCTGTGTGTGTTGGGTACGCGTGGTTCGTAGTTTATTCTCCGGACGAAATCTATCGGTAAGAACAGACCTAGAGAAAAGAGAGGAGAGAGATGTCACGAAAGGAACCCTGTCGTGAATATTTTTGTAGCGTTTGCGTTTTCACTCGGATCAATCTTACGGACAATCTCAACAGAAGCAATGGCCGCTGGTTCTGCGACCAATCGTTCGGTACTGTACCGCTCTTTCTGTCTGTCTGTCTGTCGTTCTTTTTGCACTCTCGAGTTTGTGTATGTGATTTAACCTTTCAAGTGTCAACAGTGAGCTGAGATTGTGTGTTTATTTATTGCGTATATGTGTGTATTTATTTGTCGACGTGTCGCCTGTTTCCAGACTCTCGAGGACACGTGATGCACTACCTTTTCGATTTCTCTCCTCTCTTTTCTCCTCTTAGAAAACCAATCCCTCTTTTCTTGACATTTGGACTCGAACGCAAAACAGTCTCTTTAATTTTGTATCACATCACCTTTTTTGTATACTATTTGGTTGTGGAAGAATTGCGACCTATTTTAAGTCTATTGGATAATTTAAATATCTTTATTTTTTGCATAGTAACTTATTTGATTGTGTAAGGCGCTGGACCCAGATTCTATTTAAGCGATGACGGAAATCTGCTGTGTACTCGGAGTAAGTAGCGATGGTGTTTCTGGGAGCTAAACAAGATGGCCGCTTCATCGTCATCGGTGTCTTTCTCTCTGTCGGTGACAAGTAGCATGCTCCATTTTCCGTGTTCAACACTGTTGCTTCGTACGTGTATGTGTGGGTTTTCGTTGTCGTCGTCGTTTTGAAAAATCATATTTATTTGACTATTTTTGTAGACAGATAACTATTTGATTTAAATTGTATTTTTCTATTTCCTCTCTCACTTGATTTGCCCACGTATTTATGGTTACGTTCACACGCAGCGTCACACTGGAAGACGCAAAAGGCCATTTCTTGAATCATCCGTGCAGTTGTGTGTGTGAGTGAGTGTGTGTAAACTAATCTATTTATGTATTATTGCTTAGCACACATCAATTTGATTACTATTTAAGTTGGTTGTGTATTTAATTTGAAGGAAGGAAGCATTGAGGGTTCTACTATGTTCATGGAAAACACTTGAGACTCTCCCTGGTTAGATGGAGGTGTATCAGCCCTCCCCTCACTGATACTCAGAAACTTGAATATAACACATTTTGAAAGGCTTACTAACCTCGAATCTGTGTTGTGACGTGCAATACTGTTTCTAATGTTTGTATAAAAAAGTGAGAATTGCAGTGTATACCTTTTTAATGCAGATTTATTTTTTTCATTGCATATTTTGCAAATTTCTGATTCACAGTGTCATTTTTTACTGTCAGAAAAGATGAAACCCCTTTTTTTCATTGCAACTATTTTTAAATCCAGATATCTTTGTACTGATGTAAATGATTGTAGTTATTTTGGATAGTGTTTTGCTAACAAAAGGAGAAACTTTTTCATGCATATTTCTATTTCTTTTTTGTTCGTTGTTTTGTTTTTTTTGTTTGTTGTTTTGTTTTTTTATTTTACTCTAATAGAAGCAAAATATTTGGGATAATTTTTCATATTATATGTCATTAATATTATTTTGTATTTTTATGTGGAAAGATATGAATATATAATTTTATGATGCTAACTGCTAACATATTATTTCAATTTGAATTATTTTTAAAGCTAAAATCTTTGTAATATTGTTAATGTTCTAGTTTCTAAATCAAGTTTGTGTATAGATTCACACAAGTGGTTTATGAAGTGTTCAGACTGTAATTATTACTGAATGGCTCTTTGATATGCAAACTGAATACCATGTTGTTCCTTATTTTGATTTGTTTTGTATTTAAATGGGGTGTTGATTACAATCTTTTTCTTTCATTTCCTGAATAAAGACCCATTCTGTTCAGACACAAGCCGCGTGCGTCTCAGCCGTATTCTTTTGTATGAAGTATCTGTTAATTGGTTTTCCTAGTTGTTTTTTACATTTAGTGAGAAATTGTATTAGTTGTGAGTAATGGAAGGGAGAAAACACTTTTTAAATCGTTTTATGGAGATTTTAATTCGCAGCTTAATAGAGGAATCGAATGCATGAGCCTTCAGGCGCCCCCTGGAGGAAGAAGCACTTTTGTGTCCTACAAGGAGGGTTTTGTTGTTTTTGTTATATTGTAATTTATAGATTTAATTAATATATTGATTTAAAGTGATCCAAAAAGAAATTCAATAATAAATAAGATGTTTTCAAAGCTTCTGTTATCGATTTTCTACAGGGAAGGTAACAATAGTTTTAGAATTTATTCTAGAACTTTATTGCAAACCCATAGGAAAGGTATTATCAATTAATATTCGTCTCCTGCTAAGACACAACAATTAAGTAGAAAATTACCTGCAAGTTTCCACATACTTAAATACACACATAGGCCCATTACTGTTACTAAACTGTAATGTTAATCTGAATTAATCGTGTCGCCTGTCAGTGTACCTGTCCCCGCCTATAAGTAAAGTTGCTCAACCTGAAGGAGAACGGAAACAGAAACGCTAGTTACGTATGTAACTGTGGTTCTGTGCATTCCGGATGACCGCCAGAAGCGGTGCTAAGCAGTAGTGGATAATCGCTGCGTCAGCTAGATAGGTTGAGAAAAAATAACAACAAAGTCACGTCATGACATCGACCGAGATGCGAGGATATAAACCACAGCAGCTTGATGGCCAGCCTCGGAATGCTTTCTCACGCATTCCGAATGGTGAAGAACTCTGGCGGTCATTCGTAATTCACAGAAACACAGTTACATACGTAACTAGCATTCTGTTTCATTCCTCCTGATCGCCAGAGGCGGTGCTAAGCACTAGTGGATGACACATACCAACACAGTCATGAGGAATGCCACCCACCTGCAAACATCAAGGATCTTCCAGAAAGACTGCAGAACTCACATCATGGGAAGCAGCCACGTTGACCTTGTAGAACTGCGCAAAGGTACATGGAGAGAACCAGGTAGCAGCTGCACAGATTTCCGCCAAGGAAACTCCCCGTAAGGCGGCCCAAGATGAAGAGACAGCCCTAGTAGAGTGACAAGTAACACCCACTGGTAAAGGCTGATTAGAATTACTATATGGTAACTTTATAACCTCAACAATCCAACGTGATAATCTTTGCTTAGACAAGGGGGCACCCTTGCATACCTCACCATAACAGACAAATAACTGAACTGTCTGTCTAAAAGGAGCAGTAGACTTAACATGGCACCTCAAAGCTCTTACAGGACAGAGAAGATGAGACCTCCGTCCGCCTGCATCGGAAGGAGAAAGAGGAGGTTGAAAGCAGTCAAATGAATAGACTGATTCACAAATTGTGGCGACAAGACCTTAGGGAGGAAGGCTGGATTAGGCCAAACAATGGCCCCAGAATCCTCTGGTAACCAGCGAAAGCACGGTACACTCACTGACAGGGCATGAAGCAGAAGCAATGTTTATCAGGAAAGATACCTTTAAGGACAAACACTTAATATCCACAACATCCAATGGTGTGCAAAGAAACTCTAGAACAAATGGCAAGTCCCAAAAGGAAAGGGAGTAGAACGAACAGGCTTTAGACGTCTTGCTCCCTTCAGAAAACTACATACAAGGTTGTGAGACCCCAAGGATGCACCATCAACCGGGACATGATAAGTAGATATGGCAGCAACATAAACCTTTAAGGTAGAAGCCGCCTTGTTGTCATCTAACAGATGCTGCATAAAACTCGATACTTTCGGCACAGTACAATGAACTGGGTTTAGTCCTCAATCCCCACACCAAGAAGAGAATATCCTCCACCGAGCAGCATAAAGCTGTCGTGTTGAAGGAGCCCTAGCGTTACCAATAGTGTTCAGTACTGCTGGCTCACAAACAGTTAACTGAGAAGTGGACCCACTGGCCAAACCCAAAGCTGAAGACGAGCTGGATCTGGGTGCCAAACACGGCCGTTCAGCTGAGAAAGCAGGTCCCGTCTGATGGGAAGCTGCCACGGTTCACAGAGGGGCCTCCTGTAACAGACTCAGAAGAAGAGGAAACCATGGTCTGGCTGGCCAA